TGGACACCCTGTAGAATGATGAAATTTGGAATTTATACTTGGAGAGGCCACCAATTTTTTTCAAGCAGATTCAGTGGTGGTACAACTGAATTTCATAAAATGACCTCTCTAACTTTGAATGCCTCATACCCCCATTAATATTTACATAAACCTCCTGAGGCCAATAGGAAGCACCCCCACAGGAATTTATAAATAATGAAGGAGGAATTGTTAAGGTTTCAACCTTAAGGGTGGATTTTTGAACAGAGCATTATCCGATAATGCAGCTTTATTTACCGGATTTATAATGCATTTTCTCCTAAATAAAGCTGCATTATCGGATAATGCTCTGTTCAAAAATCCACCCTAACTCTTTCACTCCCAAGCCTAAGTAGGCAGTATATGGATAAATTCCCAAGCTAGTTTTATACTAAATTGCAAAGTATTATTTAGAAAATCATTACAAATCCTATTTAACTAATGGCACACAAAACCAGTGCCGAGATTGGCACCTCAGGAAATTTTAGCATATGATATGAAGAGCTGATATTTGGCGCCTTGGGATTCTAAGGGTTAATGCATAACTAATATGGAATGTACTCCTACGTCAATTAACAGAGAAATGATAAACCATTTAACTGCAACAGCCATATGCAGGCTCACTGAAACTCTAAAAGCACTTATTAATCATTTAATCAATAGATTAATTTATTCACAATAATAATAATATATAACTGCAAGCATGAACACAATAATCAGAACAAGATGAAACCATATTCCCATGAAAATGAGCAGAAGTGGCAAAAACTGTTCACAGAAATGAGATGCTGCCCAGTCAATGGTGCAAGACCAGAAAAACTAAATGCTTATACATGGACACTAGGACAAGGCAGCTGGGAAAATAGATATGAGTTCAAGTAGGAAGGCCTGCAGAATGTCCACAAGTTCATACACCCAAAAAGGATGGGGAAATGATGCTAAATGATGGGACTGTGAATATCACACTGAGCCAGAAGTAGGAGTCAGCGCCGGGCAGGGCGCTGGGTAGGGCTGGGGACATAGGATGATCCACCATGCTTCTTCCACTCCCGCTCAAATTCCTGCTCAAGAATCTCAGCCCCTCGTTTCCGAGTCAGCCCAGTCTCCTCCAGGTTCAGCTCACACATCTGCATATCATCACGACCTATATGCATGACAACATGAGAAAATTGCTTTGATGACAACAATAAATTAAAGTCCCTGAAAAATAGGGAGCCACTGCAGCTCAATTACTGTACATGGTTCACTAGCATGAAAAATCAGTCATTGGTTAGATCAGACAGAAAGACCATACTCAAAGATATGGATATCTACGTTCAGTGGTGAGTCCATCACTCCCACCCCACATTTCAAAACATTCCAATGCCTATAATGTTAGTAAAACACTAAGAGAACAAATAAGAGATACCATAGATCATACACACTAGCTATGATCTCCAATCTCCATTCAGAGCAAGAATCAGAAAATGACACTTAAGCCTCATATTAGTGAAAAGATTGGGTTAATTTGAAAATAAAAAATGGCAGAAAAAAATGATAGTGTACACAAAAGTAGATAGCAATGAAAGAAAAAGTTATACCAGCTACAAGTAGGACAGGTTCTTTCTCTGGATGGATCTCCATCTGTCGAGCAATCCAGGGGCCTTCAAAGTGGGCATACCACCACCCCTTCTGGGGATGTGATAGGTCTCGTTGCTGGTCACTGGGTCGCACAAAAGGTATGCGAAAGTATCGTTGAGTTTTTTCTGCCCCACTGGTCCCATTCACCATTCCCTTGGGCATCATCCTTGGCTGAATGGCTAAAAGGAAAACACATTACCATTCAATCAACTTTGGCAACAATTATATTTGGGGAGAAGAGAGGGAAACAGGAGATTAAGAACCACAAGAGACAGTATGATTTATTTAGCATGGTGGACATAATAAATACTGTACAAGTCACCCAGCAGAAATACTGATGACAACATTAAAGGCTATGTATTGGCTAATGTTGATTCCAAGATTACTCCCTACTCAAACCATGTCCTACATGAAATTCTGTATGAGTGATGAATGAATGGTCATTGTAAAGGACAGACATTAGCTCCTGGGAAGGATGGTGAAAAGTAACTAGCTGCAATAAGAAGAAAAAAAGCTGGGATGTGATACTGTACATGATACAGGAAAAATAACTGAGAGATATGAGAAAGATGGGGACTGGTGGAGAGTAGAAGAGGATACATGGAGCCAGTATGCATGGACAAAGTATGCAATTGGCTGAATGAAGGGATGGTTACCATTCTTCCCATCAGGCAGCTCTACAGTGTTTTTCACTTCAGTTAAACAATTTTTCACTTGACTAAGACACCGATGCGAGGGGTATTCAGAGAGGAGGCGAGGGCGCAGATGCCCCTGGTGACTAGCGACATCTTTCTCTTCTTCGAATATTTAGGCTTTTTTGTATGAATCAAACTATGTACTAGATACGATGAACCGCATGCATAGTCGTGTTGTGAACGGGAGACCTTCCTTGTAGTCTATTTAAATAAAAAGGCTCCAAGTTTTCAATTTCTCATCGGCTCAACGATGTAGAAACACTGGATCGGACTTCGATGGACAATCCCAGATTCACGTTAGATAGGCCTAATCTAGCCTACGTGAGTTCGGCGTGGGGAATGATACTTCGGAACCCAGGAACGATGCCCAAAACTTCACCTGTTTTATTGAAATATTAAGGAAAACAGTAATCGGTGACACGAAAGCCTAGTTTTTCACTACGACATTAAATTATCATTTCAATATATTGTGTATTTGGGAAGGTTCATATTTATTTTCCTCCCTTCAGCAGGAATCATCATCGTTGTCGCCAATGTCATCATGACATCTGCACTAAGAATGGAACTCCTAGTTTCTGCGTCGATCCGCTATATCACCCACACCATGCACCGTTGTCGAAGTCAAGTGAAAAAATGTCTAACTCAAGTGAAAAACACTGTAGTCACTGTAACACGTCAGTAAAACTTGAATCAAACTCACCGCCGCTAATTACACTTCCATGCGACACGGTTCTTCTCCATGTATTACCAAGCGAGACACTAGATGGCAGTGATGGAGGAAGCCAGCTACACCATGACACCGTCTTATGCATAAAAAAGTTTCGCGATAATAGCTGCAGTAAGAAAAAATATTTATGGGTTAAAAGTTATGGAAACTCGGACACACGTTGTACACTACAGAGGACATAACGCTGATGCATAAGCAGTTGTGCAGTATCCCAGGTTTTTTTTCCTATATGCGAATATTCGGATTCTAATATCAGTAGAGATGTATATTCTTGAGTTCATAAATTCCTCTATACAGACTTCTTGGATATATTTTAGTCAACTCCTGCAACTATGAAAATTAGAGATTCATGGTAAATCACCATAGGTCGAAATGGGTCACCATGGGTCACTCAGCATCATTCTGGGCCACTTGGATCAGACTTGAGATTAAGAGAAGAAAAGAGTTTCTGAATTAGTTCTGATGAGCTTGTTCTTTTCAATCTTGTCTGGAAAGGATCCCCATGTTATTTCCCTATGGGTCTGACTTTTATTACACCCTGTAGTCTATGAGCAGAGTTAATGTCGTGACAATGGCTTCAGTAAGTAGAGTAGATATGTATATGTTAAAAGTAGAGGGAACTTGGTCGAACGTTGTATAAAACTGAGGATATTACGTTGATACATAAACAGCATCCCTATATTTCGGAAATTTATTTGTCCTATGGACCTCTATCCGGATTCTATACAGTCACTACATCGAGGCTTATAGATTCTATAGAGTCCATAAACTCCTCTATACAGTTTTATAGATTTGTATAGAATTTTTTCACTTGGTCAAAGAAGGGACAGACTCATGTGAAACAACTTCAATGCCACAGCATTGCTCACATTAATTGAAACGATGCTTCAGTATGGCATCAATCCTTTAACTTTGATTCCATTTGGATTCGGTGTTGAAAGAGCAATATTGCAAGAACGTTGCCCGGTCAACGTTAGATCAACAGATGTCAGGCGAGACATCTAGCGAGACATGCGAAAAAATAAGATTTCCTGACTGCGAAATGTAATGGCGACAACTTGATCAACGTGTTTAGTTACCATATATTGGGTAGTTCAAAGAAACGCTCTACCGTTTTCTATGGGAAAAACAACTTCATAAATGTTGCGAAAAATTTAAATTGGATACGCGATCGATATTTGACGGTTATAAAGTGAAATACTTGTTAGTTTTTTTTTCAGCACCCCTGCTTCAGTCTTGCAACGCCCATTAAGAGGTGAATTAAAGGTGCTTAGAGATGGATTATTCCACCTCAAGTGAGGGATTACCTTTGCTCGACCGTATCAGAATTGAATGAACTTTTCAAATTTAACTTTTCAAGGGAGAGTGGGATCCAGCTGATAATTGACAGAGACGTTCATGAGTCTAAGGGTTTTTTTTTCACTTCCGCAAGATGGTACTCTATCCAGATAGCGCTGTTGTTGACCGGGTGACCGAGGGTTATTTAAAAAAAGGTTTAATGCTCCACTTGTAAACTGGGTAACAGGACAATACATGACTGAGAGAATTGTTCAGAAAAAAATAAGACAATCTTTTCAATACCTCCTCTATGTCCAATATCAAGAGTTTTCTTATCTCATATTTTTTTCATCGAGTACACGAATCGCACTTTCTTCCCTTTGAAAACGTTGAAACTGCTTTTAATCGCCCTCGGTCCCCCGGTCAATGCAGCGCCCTCTATCAGGATACAGCGTCATCTTCCGGAAGTGAAAAAAACACCTTAGACTCATGAACCTCTCTGTCAATTATCAACTGGATCCCACTCTCCCTTGAAAAGTTAAATTTGAAAAGTTCATTTAATTCTGATATGGTCGAGCAAAGGTAATCACCTCACTTGAGGTGGAATGATCCACCTCCTGGCACTTTTAATTCAACTCTAAATGGACGTTGCACGACTTAAGCAGGGGTGCTGAAATAAACCTGGCAAGCATTTCACCCCCTTGTAACTGTCAAATATCGATCGCATATTCAAGGTATTTTTTTGCCACATTTATGAAACTGTGTTTCTCCCATAGAAAGCGGAAGAGCGTTTTTTTTGAATCACCTTATATATGCTATCAGTACGCGACTCAATCACTTTAGTAGCAGTACTTGATATTTTCTCCACTAACGACGCCTGGGAAGGTATTTGACTTGCTGGATACATTCCAACAATGTGGCAACCTAACCAAACAAGATCCAGGATAATTCTGAGCAGGATGATGGTTGCAAAAAGTTTGTGAGGTTATGTTGCTCCATGTGACCAAGACGCCCTGTTTTCCAGGATGAATCCAAAATCAATATGATTGCCGAAGGTTTTGTGGAGTGAGGATAGTTTCTTATTACATCACATTAATCAGGCCAGACTCCTCCTGATTCCAGAGAACAGGATGCCTCTTTATCATCTCGGTATTATGTTCACATTGTCCTTGGATGAGGGTATATTAAGGAAGCGGGTTCGTAGGATGGAGATCGTGTCCAGAAGGTATTCAAATAATCCCTTTAATCATGAAACGGCGCATGCCCAAAAATTAAACAGTTGAGACCTGTTATATGAACGTTGAATCTTCGTGGATTCAACATTTCTTCAGCGTTGAAGAAAATGTATTTTCAATATGGATTGAACGTTGAAAAGCAAATGTTGAATCAAGGTTGAAATATTGGTTTTGAACATTGAATCAAAGTTTCTATACCGTTGATGTCAATGTTGAATCATTCGTTGATAAAAAGGAACTTTCAATATTGAACCAATGTTGATGAGCAACGTGATTTCAACGTTAGCAGCATTAACGAAATGATGTAGAATCAACGTTGATTCAACATCAGTGTGCCACTTGGGGGAAATATGAAAATGAGATACTTTACAGGCAAGAAAGCGGAAAAATATCGCGGGGAAATTTGGTAGCGGAAGAATACAGCCAGTGAAAAATAGGGGAAAAATAGGGAATTTTCCCATTTTATAACTTAGTTATACAATTAAAATTTTAATTTCGATTTTAAAAATTGCTTCAGATGCAAATTAATGCGACATTACTTATAAAATACATCAAAATCAATAAAATAAAGACGTAGCCTCGTGGTAAGCGTGTTTTTCTCATCTTTTGATCCAAATTATTAACATACAGTAGTATAATAGTGAGGGGTCCAATGCACCACCTTGCACGGTTACGTTCGTCATTTACCTTGCCCAGAAAGGGTTACGGCAATACCAACACTAAGATGAAGCATTTCGGATAATTCGAAGAAGATATTTGACGTCTAATATCTGCAATGAAACTTGAACAAACCATAGCATACAAACAACGCAACGCTCGTCGTTTATCAGACATTCCACTTTACAGATAATGCGGAGGCAAAAACATGGAACTCAGTTCCATTTCATTTGATTTCAGGTACAGATTGGCCTACAAATTTCGAAAGTGAAGAGTGCTTCATCCACTACTACTACCCGCTACTATTGAAGTTTTCGACTTAATGTGAAATTCAAGAATGAAAAAATATACTAGACAAAAGTAAACCAAAAGAAGGAAGAAAGAAACATGCTCAGAGAAAGATAATGAAAGGGAAAAACTGTCAAAATACTCTGGGCAGAGGAATGTCAAAGTACCGTCTTTGACAGTACGACGACCAAGTAAGAAACAAAAAAGGGAAGTCCTGTAAAATAGGGAAGTCCTGTAAAATAGGGAAGTCCTGTTCCGGTGAACTCGGTGAAACATGTAATATTCCAATTGGGAGGAGAGTGGAAGTGTTTTATTGCTGTAGTGATCGTCGATGGATGGATAGAGGGGAAACATGCCCATATGCTCCACTAAATGCAGAAGAATATTCTAGTACAGACGCCCACAGTGGCACAACGACGACAACACAGGAGGTAAACAATGAAAGTCCTAGTAAATATATTACTACTTCCGATCCCAGTGAGGGAGGAATAAATGTTCGTGGTGAATCTGGTGAAACATATCAAATGCCCATTGGGAGGAGAGTGGAAGTGACTTATTGCTGTAGTGATCGTCGATGGATGGATAGAGGGGAAACAAGCCCAAATGCTCCACTAAATGCAGAGGAATATTCTAGTCCAGACGCCCACAGTGGCACAATGACGACAACACAGGAGGTAAACAATGAAAGTCCTAGTAAAGATTCTACTCCTTCCGATCCCAGTAAGGCAGGAATAAATGTTCATGGTGAATCTGGTGAAACATATCAAATACCCATTGGGAGGAGAGTGGAAGTGATTTATTGCTGTAGTGATCGTCGATGGATGGATAGTAGGGAAACAAGCCCAAATGCTCCACTAAATGCAGAGGAATATTCTAGTCCAGACGCCCACAGTGGCACTATGACGACAACACAGGAGGTAAACAATGAAAGTCCTAGTAAAGATTCTACTCCTTCCGATCCCAGTAAGGCAGGAATAAATGTTCGTGGTGAATCTGGTGAAACATATCACATGCCAATTGGGAGGAGAGTGGAAGTGATTTATTGCTGTAGTGATCGTCGATGGATGGATAGAGGGGAAACAAGCCCAAATGCTCCACTAAATGCAGAGGAATATTCTAGTCCAGACCAGTTTCTTGTGCGTCTGTGGTTGTGATTCTAATAAATTCGATAAAGAAGCTGGACGGAAACTTTGCAAAACTTCCTTTGAATATCTGGTCAGATAGCAGCTCCTCCAAACAAATGGGTTCATGAATCCCTGAAAGTATAGAACTAACTATGCTTTCGCCATTCTCCCTCTCTGCTTAAATGTATTCATGGAACGTATTTAGGATCACAGCTACAATCCTGAAATATGGCATTAAATGGGGGATGAATTTATTATGCCACATTTCATTGAAATATCAGAAACACAGAGTCAGCCGACCTTTTGTGGCCTCCACAGTATCGCGGCATTTCGTGACTAGGCCTGATCTGTTCGCCTGATCTGTATTTAGTTGAGTGCAGCCTCAAGAAAGGCCGGAATTTCGACGTCGAAGCTCATCTCACGAATAGTGTCGAGCACATCTCTAAAGCCTCAATCAACGAGAAAAACATACATGGAAAAAAGGATTGAAGAAAAAACTAAGACCAGCGTCAGTCCTCAATAGCTACGTCATGATCAGGGCATCAGAAATGTTCTCTGTATCGGGACCAAACACATCCAACATAAACACATCCGGAGCACCCGCTAAGTATGGTTTGAGAAAGGGGCGACGCTTATGACTACTATAACCTTTCCTCTGGAAAGCGTAGTTGCACCTAATCGGGATATAAAGATAGGCACCACCCCAGATGATGAGTACCTTGTCTACATCATTACCCCAGAAGTGTCTCCTGCCACAGTGGTCATCTGGCTTCTCAGGTCTTTACGGATGCAAATGGGTCAAGATTAGCGTAGTCCTGAGTGTCTGTCCGAGGGTTAGATACAGGTCTACTAAATTAGTCCCCTCAGGCCATGTACCTTCAAAATCGAAAATTTTACATTGTAAGCAATGCAATATCTATGCTTTCCTTCCCACTTCCTTCAAGGAAGAATATGTTTGAGTAATAGCCTAAGCGTTCAACAATGGGTCAGGCTGATGAATGCGAAATCAGTCCTCCTCAAAATGTTCCCCCAAGGAATGATCCTCCAAAATTGGAATTTTCTGTATTCAGCATCTTTACTGCTATAAGTGTTTCCAAGATTCATCCTCCCATCATATCTAGAACATGGTTAGAATTTGCGTCAGCAAGTCACTCCAGATCGCTAATATACAGGGTAGGACAAAAAACGCTATCATTATTGGTGAGTTTTCAATGTGATTGTAAGCTGCCCATTCCGAAGAAATCTGGTAGGCATATAGGATGACTCAATCAGCGTGCATGGCCAGAATTTAAAATCAAAATGGCAAACATGTGGGAATTGCATTTAATTTGCTTTTAATCGCAAAGAAAGTTAGTGTTCATTTTCCCTTTAATATTAGAAGTACGGGTGTGATCAGTTTGACCGCTAGCTGCTTTTAAATAACACTTACTCTGCTCGTTTGGCAATTAAAGGCCTATGCATTTTTTTACTTTTCCTACATCTACAATACGTATTCAACATCCTGATATAGCAGTAGACCCAGGGTTGCATATTCAGCAGAGATATAACACGTTATGGTCAGAAGTACTGGAGCAGTCAGTTTGACCGCCATAGAGAAATCAATGTACTTGGCTTTGTGAGAAACTGTCGAAGTTACTGTGAGTTTGGGTCTGACCGACCATTTTCACAAGTTCAATCTGTTGTGATCACGTGACAGACCTGGAGTAATCTTAGGATTAACTTGGTTTATTCGCGTGACTGATTTGGTGAGAAAAAGTGTTTTACTTTGAAGCTAAACTTCAGAACTACGCTTACGTCTTGTATGTGCTACAGTAGAATACTGTTTCAGAAAAGTCAGATGATTTTTTCTTTCAACATATCTGCTGTATCTGTATACTAGTGAATTTGTCAGCCCGAAAGGGCAAACAAACTCGCTATGGACGCGCCTGCGGCGCTAACTTTAATAATGCATTCATAGCATTCCTTTTTGAAGCTCACTCCTAATGATGCCGTCACTCCTTGGTCAATGAGTTTGGCGTTTCTCGCGGCTTTAGCGCTTGCACCTTAAAAATGTTTCAGAAAATATTCATAGTGACAGCTTCTGACTTCCAGCACAAGGTAAAAATTCAGTGCGTCGTTTAGTTTTATAATATTGCATGAAATTATTGCCTGTGGTCGTCGCATTCTTTTTTGTGCATAAATATAAAAATATATATAGTAGCAGACATATAAACTCCTCACGTCAGAGTTTCAACTAAATAATTCCACATAGACTATAGACTATTTCATCTCTATATTTATATCTCTATATTCGGGCCCTAATAACTCTACAGAAGTCACTTTTTCAAATTCATCTAAGGGTTCCATACAGTTGCCCATGAAGAAAAGCGTCATTCTGCATTATCGTCTCGCGTCATTATCGTCTCACGATGTTTTTCCTCGATGTTTTGTTCGCGATGTTCTTTCCAGGAGCCATTATTCACATTAAAACACCGATGATTTAATGAGTTTTCCTCAGATCTCTTCATTTATTCTCATTATTCAACGAGAAAAAAAAAACTTTAAAATATTTCCCTCCCTTAGTCCGCCCCGAGAGGACATATTTCTGAAGGAGGATTTCTCGACGCTAGGACAAATACAATTATTGGAAAACGGCACCCCAAAAAATATGCTCGATGGAATGCATCTGCAAGTTTGCACTTTTCCTGAATTCCGTGTCTCAGTGAGCACGATAATATCGCACAGTGAAAACATCACACAGCGATAACATCGCGTCGCTAGGTTTGAAAGCCTGCGAGCAAGAAGTAAAGATTTCCTTTAGTAAATCTTCACCTCAAAAATTAAACAAAGAAGATTCGAGAAAATTCGCCTTTTGCAGAAAAAGTTTCCTCAGGGGTTTTAGCTACAAATGAAAATTTTAAATGAAATCGGTATTTGGAAAACTACATGCCTACCAATTTTCACCCTTATTCGTTTCCTCTTTACGCTTCAGCAAAAATATCTCTGGAAAAGCAGACCCAGCCAAATACTCTGCCATAAGGGTGTGCACCGCCAAAGTTGAATTTTTCGGTCCTGGACCCCCTCCACTCCCATTCCCTGCCTGAAAAGTCTTATCTTTGTGCGATTTGACAATTTCCTTCGTACATTTGGATTAGGGGATGAAATTACGAATAATTGCACACACCTGACAATCGCAACATCCCATTCGGCACAACAACGTCGTGTCGACGTTGAAAAAAGGTTGATGGCAATGTTGCCTCAATGTTGAGAAAAGGTTGACTTTTCAACGTAACATGTTGCCATGATGTTGCCACAATGTTGAAATGAAACACAGCTCAACGTTGAAAAGTTGATGCCGTGGGACGTCGTGTCAACGTTGAATTTTCAACGTAAGGGCATTATAGTACCTCCTCCCTATTCCTNCCATGATGTTGCCACAATGTTGAAATGAAACACAGCTCAACGTTGAAAAGTTGATGCCGTGGGACGTCGTGTCAACGTTGAATTTTCAACGTAAGGGCATTATAGTACCTCCTCCCTATTCCTGGGTTTGAATGAGCTTTGATTGTCGGATGAGATTGAATATGGACTCGATAGCTCCATAGATGGTTCCCAAGAGGTATGATAGTAGCAGTACTCTATCGAGTACAATCATCCTCACAGTTTTATTTCCGCTACTGAATGAGAATTCACATTGAGTACTTGCATGACTCAAGTACCTCTTGGTCCAGTAGAGGGAAACAATCTCGCGGGCATGGTTTTTATACTCTATCCATCATGGATGAGTCTAAGTAAAGGCGCGTGCCATGTGGAGATTTAGGAAAATTGAGCGTGTCTTTTCGGACCCACTAGCCAGAAGTAATTTCGGTCT